ATATATATATATATATCTCAAAGTGCCATTAACTTTCACTCAAGTATAGAAACATTTCTAAGAAAGCAACACATTCACGTCACACTGGTTGTGAACAGCTTGAGTTAATTTTTTATCTGCAGTTCTCTTTGTGGTTAAATATAAATGAACTAATGAAAGAATTAATGAGAAAATAATTCACTCACCCACTTAAATGCTAACGTGACAGATCTGCCAGTAAAGTCCATCACGTTAAATAAGAGAAAACAAAAAACAGGAATGAAGTATCGTTCTGAGAGAAAGAGGGAGAGAGACAAAACTGTGATGCACATCCTTATACATACAACAGTGAAGCATCGTGCAAGAGCTCAAAGTGTGATCGTGCAAGGTTTTGAAAATACTACTTTGAGTGCTATTCTTTAGAGATCCACTAGATGGCAGCATTTATCGTTTGATCAGGTTACAAAACCTATAAAAAGTCAAATTAAGTCGAAATCTGTCATGACATTATTTAATCGATCAATCTCTATTTTTTTGTTTTTGCCAGACTGCAGCAGTCAGTGCGAGTACAGTTCTGAAAGTGATGAACGTGCGCTGGTTTTGTTAATCATTTAGCATAACGACTAAGAAGGGTGAGATGAATTTTGCAGTGATGTGCATTAAACTCTACAGGCAAAACTATTGTTTTTTTCATGCACTAGTTAGTTTGGAGAATTTGCTTCCATAACATGTCTTTTTTTTTTCAGATTAATAACATCCAAAATACACATTTAAGTGTTTATTTTATTACACTTCATATTTTACGTCTGTAGATTTCAATTCATTTCTTTAAAGGCCGTGAGTTTTATTTCCACTTCAGTAGTGCTTACATACACCAAACATTACAGTTTTACTCCAATCTATATACTGAGGGGTTTGTTCATATATTGTTTACCTGATTTATACAACATTTTATTACTAAGAACATGGTGCAAATGTTTTTGTTTTGTTTTTTTTTGTGATAAAAAGAGAAATAAAAAATGCCCTCTGTACAAAACTTTAACTCTATGTCAACAAAATCAAATAAGAATTTTGGCTGTATCCAATTTTCAGAATTTTTTTTTTTTTCTGAAAATGTACGCAAAGTAGTACATATTTAATTAGATAATGCATCAATTGAATTTTTAAACAAACCTTCATAAAACTTGTAATACAAAACAATTATCTTAACGCACCGTGATTAATCAACTGCGAAAAGCATGGTGATATGTTATTAATTCACCTGTTGTGTCTTGCTTTAAACTCTCATTCTCAGACAAAGCATTATACACAAAAAAAAAAAACTATTAGCACTAAAGCTAAACAATAACTTAAAAACCCTAATTCATCTACCATTGATTTTAGGCATAATTAATGGTTATGGTGGGAACAGGGATAGTAAATTAAAAATAGTTTATTTTAGGACTAGGGTTTTAATGAATTGGAAGTCATTGTAATTGCAATTTAAATTAATGTGTGTGTGTTTCGTACCCCATTTTCCTCCATACCCAGTTTTCACATCCACAGTAACCGCAGGAAAAACTGACAGTGTAACTGTAAATACAAACGTCACACAGAACGCCATAAGCCAAATCTAGAGAGAGAGAGAGACAATAAAAATAAGCCACTGTTATAACATCCAAAACAGACCACAGGCTGTAATACGGTTTTAGACTGTATCAAAGTACAGAGACTGCTCTCATCAGAGTTACAAATTATCTGCTCTTATCATCTGATCGAGGTTGTATCTCTCTATTAGTGCTACTGAATCTTAGCGCTGCGTTCGACACTATCGACCACAACATTCTTTTGAATAGACTAGAAATTTATGTTGGCATTAGTGGAATTGCATTGGCATGGTTCAAATCTTACTTATCTGACCGTCATCAATTCGTAGCAGTGAATGACGAGATATCATATCGATCACAAGTGCAGTATGGAGTACCACAAGGCTCAGTACTAGGACCGTTGCTTTTCACGCTTTACATGTTACCCTTGGGAGATACTATCAGAAAAAATGGTGTTAGCTTTCCCTGTTACGCTGATGATACTCAGCTCTAATATTTCTTCGCAGCCAGACGAAACATACCAATTCGCAAAACTAACAAAAATGCATAGCTGATATAAAAAAAACTGGATGACTAGAAATTTCCTACTGCTAAATTCACAAAAAACAGGTGTGTTAATTATTAGACCAAAAACCTCAGCATGTAATAACCTAAAATACTGTCTAATACTTGATGGCTGCTCTGTTAATTCCTCGTCATCAGTTAGGAACCTAGGTGTGCTATTTGATAGCAATCTTTACTTTTAAAGCCACCTTTCTAGCATTAGTAAAACCACATTTTTCCATCTCAAAAATATATCTAAATTACGACCTATGCTCTCAATGTCAAATGCTGAAACGTTAATTCATGCGTTCATGACCTCAAGGTTAGATTATTGTAATGCTTTATTGTGTGGTTGTTCTGCACACTTAATAAAAAAACTCCAGCTGGTCCAAAATGCAGCAGCTAGAGTTCTTACTAGAACAAGGAAGTATGACCATATTAGCCCGGTTCTGTCAACTCTGCACTGGCTCCCTACTGAAGAACGAATACATTTTAAAATCTTGCTAATTACTTATAATGCCCTGAATGGTTTAGCACCTCTGTACTTGAGCGAGCTCATATCGCATTATAGTCCTTCACGTCCGCTGCGATCTCAAAACTCTGGCCATATGTGAGCCTGGAGCACAAAAGCAGTCTTAAGTCGCTGGGGTATATTTGTAGCAATAGCCAACAATACATTGTATGGGTCAAAATTATTGATTTTTCTTTTATGCCAAAAATCATTAGGATATTAAGTAAAGATCA